TATTATTATTATTATTATTATTATTATTATTATTATTATTATTATTATTATTATTACCTTATACCTTTTTGTTGTGTCTGTCTTGTTATTGATCATAACATTGTTAAAGGAACTGTGGATCCACAAGGCGATACCCGAGTGGATCCGCACACTACTTTGACAATGTTATGACGAACTTCATCGTCAATAACAAGACAGACCCACAAAAAACTAACATCAATTTGTTTTTTACAATAAATTATCGCATTAATTACAAATTCGTGTGTCTGTCCAATTATTGACATTGAAACTTACCCAATGAATTGGCGAGAGTTTCTGCAGTTATGGTAAAGATTAATATTGATGAGTGAATGCTATGATCATTTTCATCTTGATCAGTCAATTCACTCTATTGAATCTCTCTCGGTAGAATGATGTGTATCAGATTAGGTTGCAAAATAAACCCTTTAATCTTTTGCATACAGATTAGACAGAGAAAGTGCCAGGTCAGAAAGTTAGAGAGACGAACGGACCAACTGACCAAGCATCTGGTCAACTGACTGACTGAACAAAGAGACAGCTAGATAGCCAGGCAGGCGGAACTCTCCTATCCCCTTCACTCCTCTATGCAGCACGAGGCATCCCCAGTTCCCTTCCACTTGTCTCGATCGTGGGCTTTGAGTTCCAATTTGTGGCATTGCGACCCTTGCTGGTTCTGCAATAGGACCTGCCTGGCCCCACTTTCATGCGGTTTTCTTAGAGTGTGGCGGATCCATTTTCACTTCTTCCTTCTAATTTCAATTACCATTCTCTCTTCGTGTGTTTTCATCCAGAGATGCACCAGAGACCAGAAAGCATAGACACCAGTGTACAAAGCCTTGCCCTTTATATGTAATCTGCCAATGTTAATGTTTTCTCTTGCCAGTACAATGACTCGTATTCCAGTCAAATCCCAAATGATCCGGGCTTCCAGCCATATGATCAAATTCCAAGTGTTAGCAGTGGAGACATGGCTGGTGCTAGTGGCAGCATGAGCGGTGGTGGCGGCGGCAGCAGTACCGGCAGCAGCACTGTCATGACCAGCGGCGGCGGTGGTGGTGGTGGTGGTGGTGGAGGAGGATCAAGTGTGAGTTTTCTTCAAGGAGCTATTGCAGATCTGGTGAGAAGATGTGACTATTTTGAGCAGTACTGATTAAAAACGCCTTGTAAGAGAGGACGCACTAAAAGTCATGCTGATACAAACTCAGAACTAGAACGAGCTGTTGACGTAATGATTGCGTAAGCAAAGAGAATATGCATTTTGATGATCGAAATAAACGAGTGGTTATCATCGTTTTTTCTCGAAGCATTTTCTAAGAGAATTAGGAAACATTTCCTTCGTGTTTCTATTGAGGTAAAGAAACACTCATGAAAAATTAAGAGCACTCGAAAAGCTACAGAAACACTCGCCTACGACTCGTGTTCCCATGGCATTTCTCGACAGACGGAAAATGTTTTTTGTTTCTTACATTCAATACAGAAATTACGGGTACTACGGCTACTGTTCTCGCTGGTGGGCAAGTGAACACTGTGTACTTTGTTAATTATTATGAACCCAATGGATTGTTGTCCAAGTGTACAGTAAAGATGAATAAACAGTTAAGTACTCCCCCCTCGGGCGGTTGGTGTGGGTTTTTTTTTTTTCGCGTGAATATGCTTTGCCTTTTTGCGTTTGTTATTTTGTTTTTCAATGATGAGCGGTTTTCTTTTGAGTGTCGGAAAGTAATTGGTTTTGCATTTACTACGCTACGCGACTGGCTCAAAAGACTCGCACCACTTTTTCATCGAATCAGAAGAAAACCAAAACCAATTGTAACTCACTGGCACACTCGTTTTCCCGCGCTTCGCGTCAGCTACATGTACATGTATTTACTACGAGTTGTGATTGGTCATTGGATTGTCTGTGTCCTTTGTGATTGGCTAGAGTGATTACTTTGGTTTTGGTTTTACGACACTCAATGGAAAACTTCTCTAAATCAGTAATTCATAGATTGATTTACTCATCCATGGTCTCATTTGTTTTTTTCTCTTGCAAGTTATAAGTTGATTGATTGATTTTTGTCTTGCATTTTTCAGGGGAAACTTGTGAGCAGTGAAGAAGATGCTTCAATGGCTTTACAGGTGTCTAATGCCTTGACACAGGCTCTACTTCAGTTCCGTATGAACAACTTGCCGCAAGGGGTGAGTTTGAAAAGACCGGAGTACGAGAATCCCACGTAGGAAAAAACACAGTGGAGGTGGCGTGGCCAGCCAACCTACCGCTGCTTTTGTTATCGGTAGCGCCGAGTGCAACTCTTCGACTGCATTGTGTAAATAGACAACTGGTCAGCCTCCCACCAGTTGGGATTCTTTGTAGTTTATGTTCTATTTGCAATACTTGGTTAATTATTTACAGTGTCCCTAATTAGCAAAACAGTGCTAAGTACATTTGACACTTAAATAAAGATATATATTTACTGAGGTGGAGACTACATTTGAGGTGGAGACTACATTTGGAGACTATTGATAACAGTACTTTGTACTGAAGGGTTTTCCTAGGTAAATATTCGATTATTATTATTATTTATTATTAAGATGTTGGACTTTTTCTTTACGTTTTTATGAGCGTTGTAAAGGTTTTCGTGCACTAAGAATTATAGGTCAATGCACCAGACGCCATTTTGTTCCTACGAAGGATTAGGGCGACCACGCACCGTTTACAGGGGTCTGCACGATTCGCCAAGCGAAGCAATAGGTATACAACACAAACAATGCCCCTAGCCCTTAAAACAAAAGAAATGCAGATTAACAAGAACGAATCAAAAGAGAAGCTTTAAAGACGTGCAGGTCATCTTGAAGGATTACGTTCCGTTCCACTTCAATGAACTTTTGGACGCGGTTTGGTCGAGTGGTTAGGGCGCTGGCTTTGGAAGCCGGAGGTCCCGGGGTTCAGGTCTACCTGCAACTAGATGAATTTATGTTCGGTAGTCCCTAATGTCCTGTAAAAAGATGTGGCCAGAGAATTTTGAGTCCACTGAATTATAATGAGTGTGACACTTGAGGTGATTTTGTTGTTGTTTTTATTCTAGGCTCTTGGTGATAACAGCGCGTCAGCCGGTAACGCTACATCCTCAAAACCCGAGACATGAATCCCGACTCTGTTACTAGGTATGACAGTTAACGTCCCAAAGATTAAATATAACCGGAATAGACAGGACTCGATTTCAAGACTATAGGGGAACCTTTGCTAACGTCATTGTTTACATTTTTTCTCATTAACATACGACTAACTTTGCGCAGAGAAAGCATGACGCTAGACATGAATTGACTACAAACATTTAAAGAGCTTGTGAAACTTAGTAACTGGTGACGTGTTTGGCACTCTGGGTGTGATAACCTAGGAGAAATTGGCTTTCAAAAACTGCAAAATTTCTGGGTGACCAACGCGCAAATGAGCTCATACATTGTTTGTAAAATTTTGAGCTTTTGAACCCGCGTCGCACAAAACGGGTTCAATACATCGGGCTCAAATTCTCTGGGACAGTTAATTGTGCTGTGCCCTTTCAACATTCAGAACTAATGTTTTTGTAACTCCATCAGAAACTGCATCGCTTATGCTAGTGAGGCAAATATTGTAAACAAAGATTTTCGTATTAGGACAGTTTTCTACCGCCTCCAAGTCTCGTCAATGTTTGACGAAAGTAACCAGCAATAAATAAGTGCTTAAATTAAACCCCTTAAGCCATTGTAATTGACAGGCCTACAGATATATAATCATTGAAAATACTCCCGCTAATTGTGAACTAATAACTGTTATTATCGTTAACTTTGATGTGATTTTGTTTCACATCCACTTTGCTGACGGCGGGCAAAAAAGCACAGCTGCTTTAACTTGCTGTGACTAATGATTCTGGCGACCTAGTCAACTCTACTCCGTATTCGGCGCTTTTCAAACCTTTCCTGAATACCACTGGCGAATTCTTAAAGGACATGCTCTCTTGCCAACCTTATGCAAAACAAGCCTGACCAACTGTGCCTTCCCTTGCCAAAATAGCCCTTGCTGAACCATCAACATTGCATTGTGCGAACCATCGGAGAAAGGAAAAAACACACTAATTTTAGATGTTCATCCCAAAAGATGTCACAATTGAAGTGTTTCAACATTTAGGTAGAGCCCTACTACTTTCCACGTGAGAAAGCTATTAAATCATCTGCTATACAATTTAGTGATACAGCTGTGACCATCAGCATTAGGGTAACCAATGTATATTTACTGATTAGTTTACGAGTAATTCCAAATGTCAGCATTGTAGCTGTTAGGTTTGTTCGTTATTGCCGCAAGAATATCCTAGTTATCGCATTTTCCTTTATTTTTACAGATAAAGAAGAACTATTGATCTCAGTGGACCACGCAAGATTCACTTCTGACCATTTTTCTTTACTAAAAAAAGAAAGTGATTATGGAGGCTCTTGTTTAAATTTTTTCATGGAGAAAGATAACATGGATTTAAGATGACGCCTCTGCCTAGGGATCATTTTGAGTCCTATTTTATGGAGAAACTGAGTACCGTTTTACTGGTTATGACCGCAGGTAGCTCTTGTCAGATTTAATTTGACTTATCCATTGGCTAACGGAAGGAGAATAAGACTGAGTGAGAAAATAAATCAAACACAAAACAATTTTCAACTCAGCTTGTCGAACCCAATAAATGGTATTTATGTGACTGACAAAAAATGTCTCTTGGCGAGAAAACATGCAGTTCACAACTGCGTCGACAACTGCAGATTCTTTTTAAATAAAGGATTTTACTTTACTCACTTTTACTTAGATTACTGCATAGCAGACATCATGCCGCTTAATAAACGACTACTTGATTGGCTCTCGAAAGTAACTTCAAACAAACACCAGTGATTAGATACGTCTTCGCAATGACTAAGAGGTATTTTGGAGGGAAGAATAACTCAAAAAGGTGTAACTGAGTAAAATGAATAAAGTTTTTCCTGCCAATAAACCTTTTTACCGTAACGGCGGCCATTTTAAATTCCACATTTTGACGTCTTATGTGATCAGTCACTGAACAGACGTACAGCAACCCCCCCGTGGGAGGGGGGTACTCCCTTATATGGGCTATATAGGTATGTGCGGCCCCAAAGGGTATGGTTTTTCAGCCGTTTTGGTCATAACGGGGTATCGATTTTAGCTGATTTTGGCCGTTTTGGTCATAAATAGGGTGTGGTTTTTGCACTCTAGCCTTAATATGGGTTAATGTTTTTAAGAAGAAGCCACTTTTTCATCATTATCGGAAAGAAAATCAACAAAAGTCCTTCACAAATTATGTTTACGGTAATTTAACATTGGTCTGAACTTGGGAACTAATTATAACGCAGGTCTGAAACAGGGTTTTGATTTAATGGTCGCGTCATAAATAGGGTTTCGAATTTTTGGTCAGGTCACAAATAGGTTACAAGCTGTAAACCTTCACTAATCGATGTCTGAGAAAGATCCTAAAGATATACTGGCCAGAGAAAATCAGCAACAGAGAACTTTGGGCAAGAACAGAGCAAGAATGTATTCCAGCAGAGATCGTCAGGCGCAAATGGAATTGGATTGACCACACATTGCGGAATCCAACATCTGATACAACCAGACAGGTCCTTGAATGGAATCCGCAGGGTAAAAGGAAGGTAGGAAGACCAGTGAAAACCTGGATGAGGTCAGTGGAAGAGGAGCTCAAAGAAGCCAACATCACCTGGACTACGGCAAGAAGAACAGCCGCGAACAGAGTCCGCTGGCGCAGCATTGTAACCGACTGCCCTTTGTTCCACCAGGAACGTAATGGCCTAACCGCTACATAAATAGGGTAGGGAATATCGCAGATTTTGGTCATAAACAGAGTAAGGGTTTTGGGAAGTGGGCCGCACACCCCACCCAATTTTTCTGGGAGTACCCCCTCAGGAAAGCAACATGGAATTTGTGTGTTTAAAAACTGTCTACAGGTATGGCTGAGAAATGACACCTCTTTACCTGATCGCTGACATCTTAGACTTTCCAAATTGACTGATAGCTGAGAAACTGCGACAATTCATGACGACCGAGACTGAATTGGAGCAAGCACATTTAACCAATCAACAATCAACGCTTTATTTGTACGAGCTGAGTGCTAAGTAAGCTCGATCAAAATACGAACGTGTACACAAAAAGCAAACCCAATCAGAACCTCTGTCTCCGAAGTATAACACATTTTTTACTCTAATCACACCGAAACGAAAATCAGATATTTTGTAACTGATCTTAATAAACAAACACAAACACAACATCAGGAGCGAGCATCTCGTTTATTGATACAGGATACAGCGAGCGTTACAACATCATAAGGAAAATACAGCGGTAAGAAATATAAAATAAAATAACTGAGGTTGACAGAGATGCAGCGTCATAAGCCGAGCTTTTCAGCCAATCAGAATGTCAAAGATTCACATCCGGAATATATACTAAAACGAACTGTAAGTCATGCATTGCTGCGAAGCATATCATTAGCGAAATGTTGCAAAACAAAATAAATAAAGCAATAATAAAAAAATAAATAAATAAAGCAACAATTGACAGAACTGCCTTCGAGTGGCTCTTGCATAACTCACAAAACCTTACATAGCCTACTAACTCTATGGATTCATCACAGTTACAAGCAGGCTTAAAATACTTCTACACTCAACAAGAAACATAAACTAGTGTACATATTCTTGAATTGTAGCAAAAGGTTACATAATATATTTGTAGATTTACGGGCTGGCTTAATAAATTGTAGTTACAAATCTCGGCCGGGTTGTTCGAAAACCGGTTAACGTTAACACAAGATTAAAAGTTAACTGAAGTATAACTTTATTTATAGTTTGAGATTATTCAAATTCAACACTAAAGGACAAACAATGTAAACAGAAAACCTCACCGAAGAGTAACAAAACTATCAGTTAACTATTCATCACAGTTACCAGCAGGCTTAAATTACTTCTACATTCAACAAGAAACATAAACTAGGGTACATATTCTTGAATTGTATAATTAGCAAAAGGTCACAAAATATATTTATAGCTTAACGGACTGAGCTTAATATATTGTAGTTACAAACCTGGTATCTTGACTTCTGGATTAAATATATATGAATTGTTTTTATTAAGAATCATTAGCAATTTTGCGGTATGTTGTCTTCTAATTTATACTGCGATATACAGGTCACTTTAGTGGAATTTATTCCATGTAAGAAAAGTTCTAATCACTCCCTAATCATATCGGAAGCTACTTCTTTCCATGCTTAGCGTCGTTTATTTGCTGCATGAGGGGGGTGAACAGGGGTATACAAACTGAATCCGCCGATCCGTGTCGTTTTTTCTCCAAATCCGTTGATCCGCCAATATTTTTGTTCAGATCCGAAACCACAACCACATCCGGAAACAGAAGTGTAAAAGTTCAAAGGCAAACTGGTAAATGTGAATACCTTTGCTAATTTCGCAAGAATAGTGAAGAAGGCAGCCAGCTTGATGACTCTAACACAGCACAATTCCGATAACAGTCTCACACCTGAGTTTAAATGAGCTTCGTTCGAAAAAAGAAATAATTTGGATGAACTCATTAACATACCGACCAAGGCTGAAGCAATATCTATGATCCAAATTTTGTTTAGGAGCCAAGATCTGAATATCAAGACAGGCGCAATCCGGAATCCCCGCCAAAATTCACAGATCCACTGTTTCAAGATCCGCGAATCCGCTCGATTTACCGCAAAAATCCACAACCTGTGCGCTTTTTAAGGCCTATTCCGTCGATCCGAAAACCTCTTCACCCCCCTCCTGCATGAATCAATGCAAGGTCGAAGCCGGAACAAAAATTATGACTGAGGCAATGTCCATCCCCATTTGCTTCCTAGCTTGGTATTTAGGGTGCTTATGATGATTACAAACAACAAAAACGAAAACTGATAAACTTAAGACTGAGACAAGTGCCTCGGTTTGCCTGTTACTTGTTGGCTGCGATATGTATTGGATGTACTCTTCCACGGTAGCGAGAGATGTACTCCTTTATTTTCCTCCAGAAGCATCCTATGACCACAAATACAATTACACCTAACAGACAGGTTGGGATGATCGCCCCAAGCAACTTGTTATCAAAGCCGGCTGTTTAAGAGAAATAAGTGTGTTACATATGCTGTGAATATTCAACTAGTAAATTAAAACAACGAAAAAGGAAAAAAATGAATCGATTACGTTTTGCCGCGTCCTTCAATTGTGTCATTATCGTTCACCCCTTCATTTTTCATGAACATCTGGCAACGGTAAATTGATTCATGGATACAAAATTCTTAAGTGAAGGGAGAAAAAAACACGACTTAGAAAGCTTTTATAGGAGGACATCATAAGCACAATCATCTCAATACTATGGAACCCCGTTAATACGGTTACCAACGGGCCATGACAATGTGACCGCATTGATGGGCTGGCGGTATTAACGGGATTGGACCACATATTATGGTTGATATAAATTGAATATCAAAATTGCGCTTTTATACTAAACACCTGTCCTAACTTCAATAAGCATCCGGAATGCCGATATAATTTATAAAAAAATGAACCTTCAATCAGTAGATACAATATTATCAAAGCAAAAGATAAACATAACTGGTATGAGTTGCCTTATAAACGGGGTAAAATGATAAAGGATTATCAGATACCTATTTGGATTTCAGAATGTGGCCATTGGCCGTATTAACGGGGTGGCCGCAAATGTAACAAAAGTACCTTTGCTCGGACCACAAAATAGTGCAATTCCATAGGATGATACAAAGCGAATTCGATTGCGACAATGTACTTTACCCAAGACTTCGAGACATTTTTCACCCGTGACAATTTACCTGCCGCGACCCGCGAAGATAAGACACTCTAGCTTTGAGACTTTAAGAGTGCCACTAGAATGAAAATTTCATTGTCTTAGCGATCCAAATTATCGGTTTATATCATTATTAAAGGACAGCCTTCAAGTTCGGCTGATAGCAAAAGAATCAACAGCACTAATCATTCGATGTATTTTTTCTTCCTTTTCGTTGGTCGAAAGCCAACCTCATGACCTGAAAATAACTGCCTACAAATAATGGTCTGATCAAGCGTAGTACCATCTAAATGTGTTTTGCTGCAAATAACATACTGCTCATGCGTACGCAATTGTAGCCATGATCTCTGATAAAAAATTGCAAATTGCTTCCCTGAGCTATCAGAGAGTGATTTACACCCGCTTTCAGTGTTACGTGCATAGGCGACATCTTTCGACCATCTTTCGACATGCCATATTTCGACCATGCTATGAAAGACCGTTAAACTGTGAAACTGGTAGTTTTTCCGGTTATTAGCGGAGGAAATGACAAGTTAATAATAATTACCTACCTCAAATGGCTGAAGAAGATTTTGGACTTTGCATGCTTCCCTATTTACGGAATGATTCAAGCGATTTAGTGCAGTCGATCGGTTCTGTATAGTGACTTCCAGTAGAATTGGGCTCGGCGCTGCCGCTTTTAATATTCGCAACGTGTAAACATTCAAAACAGTCGACTTATTTCACCCAGAATGACTTCTCCTAACCTTAATTTGATTTCGAAGAAATCAATCTTTCATCACTACAATTCGAGTTCGACTGTAAAGAAGTCCGTTGTGCTTACAGTTTTTAAGTAGGCCCATAGCAGGTCGAAAAATGGCAAGCTGAGAGATGTCACTTATGCACATAACACTGAAAACGGATGTAGATAAGAAAACAAATTTGGTGATCGAATGATAAAACAACAAGAAGATCTGTTCGATCTTATAACCGCGCTTTTAAAATTTAACTGTTTGCTTACCACTACAGTCGCAACGCAGTGCTGTACGGGTCCGCAAATGATCCCAGGACCGCAAATGATCCCGGATCGCAAATGATCCCCAAATTGAACCGCAAATGATCCCGGACCGGAAATGATCCCCATATTGGACCGCAAATGATCCCGATGAAAAAAATTACGAATGGCATGGATGGTGGGATGGTGTGGATAGGGAATTGGCGTACGTGAATACCGATGTTTTTATTAAAGCCATCTTATAATTATAATGGCTCGCAACTTGATTTTTTTTTTTGCATATTTTCGACTAAACTTTGTTGCTAACTACGATGTTATGAATATCACCACTCAATCATCAAAACACGACTTGG